AGCCCACCAATGAGTTAACTGTGGCACAAAATTTCCCTCTCCCTCCAGCTAGCAGGAAGTTTCTCTTCTCTGGGTTTGAATCTAATTCTTCTAATGAGACTCTTGCTTTTCAGGCTTCTACTTGCTTCACCAGCTAACACTTCTCTCTCCTGAATTTTCCTTCTCTCCCTTTATACTGTTTTCTTTGGGGCAGCCTAATGATGTGCCAGTTAAATAAAAGCTCTTCCTCAATCCTTCATCCTTCTGTAGGTAGCACATCTTTCTCTGTCCCTTTGTAGTGAGTGTCCTCAAACATAGTCTGCACTTGCTTCTATTTCTTATCCCATTGCCAGTTAGGTTGCTGACCTGTCACTTCACTGAAACTGCTCTCCCCAGGATCAATGTGGCCTCCTAACTACCACGCCAAATGATTTGTTCTTTTTGAACTCTCGGAAGCATGTCAGTGTTGACGTTTCTCTCTATCTTAAAACTCCGCCCTCCTTTGAAGTGCACAACCCTCTTCTGGCTCGCCTCTTCTCTCTGTCTCTTTTCCAACCCCTTGGCAGACCTCATTCATCCTCCATCTCTTCAGTGGTGTCGGACCCCAGAACTGGTGCTTGGCTTGCTTCTTTCGTAGTCTACATATGCTCTCAAGATGATTCCATGTACTCCCATGGCTTCAGCCACATTAAAGACTCCCAAATGTAAAACTTCGGATCCTTATCTTACACAAAACTGACTATTTGACATTTCTAACTGGATGTCCCCAAGAGCACTTTAACCTTAACATGTCTAAATCCTAGCTCAGCATCTCCCCACCAAATGTTTTCATCCTCCTTTATTTCCCCTAATTCTCTCCAGTTCCTCATTCCTCATCCATAAGGTAAAAAGGGAGGAATATCATGACCGAGAGGGTGGCATTGGAGCCCTTCCCTTGCTCTCCCAGCCTTGGAGAAACTGTTGTTTGCCAGCAGCGTCCCAAGTCCCCTTGCTCTCAACCTAGTTCAGCTCTTGCTCCCCAGCCTCTGATGCCCCCCCCCCATTAATCACTGCTATTTTTAGCCTGGACCTCTCTCCCCGTAAGGGGTGGAGGGATAGAGCAAAAAGGAAAAGGGACACATGGGGATGATTGTGGAGGGCAAGAGGTTACAAGGAGGCTAACTGGTAATGGAAAAAAATACAATTAAAAAACCCCCCCAAAAATGACATCATAATAAACAGCTTCATGAGCTTAGGGTTTTATTTACCATAAGATAAATATTTTTGACAGTATTTTTTCAATATCATATTTATTAGCTGAGTAGTATTTTCCAATATTATATGAATGTACCATAATAACCAATCCCCCCTTTTGTTAGGTTGTTTCTAATATTTTGTGTCAAGCTACATTGCAGTAGACATCTTTGTAGAGAAACCTTTGCAAGTATTCATGATGGATTTTCTTATTGCTATCTATCAACTCTTAAATTTTTTCATATACTCAACAGTCATTCTATGTTTGGCCAATAGAGGGCATTTTAAGCTTTCCTCCTCAGGGCAAGGTCACAAAGCCATTTCTACAGTATATAACACCAAAAATAATGGTTTTATTGTGAAATTGATTTAATTTTGGATCTTCAGTAATAATCAGTAAACCCCAAAGGGAGACTCAAAGTTATTTATTATGTCTAGCAAGACTATACACAATACTCAATGAACTGCTTTGTTAGGACTTAAACCCAAATGAATAAAAATGATCTCTTTTGCCCAATTCAGAATAACTAAGGGAGTGCTGTGCTTTATGCAAAGACCTAAAGTTCCTGCAAGACTTGTTGAATGGTGACAAACAGGCAGGGAAGGGAACTCAATGTGAAAACACTGACCTTGCCAGCCCGGAATCTGTAGCTCCCTGGAAAGACAGATTGGGGGCAACACTGAATAGAGTCTTGCCTAGACCATTACATATCTATCATTTACCAGTCAGGTTTTATAGGTCTTGCCAGAGCTTGAAATAATTGTTTTATGTGCATTTTTCTTGATTTTCACCAAGACGAAAAATTCCCAAGGGCAGTGGTCTATTACACTTGTTGGCATACCCAATTTTAATTACACCTATCAGATTACTAAATACAAGGGAGGTGTATTTAAATAGTTGTCACTTGATGCTAATGACAATTTTCTATTCTAGTGTAAACACAGATGATTACTGAGAGGTAGAGTAGTGGTTAAGGGTACAGGCTCTGGAACCAGGTTGCTTGTATTTGTGTCCTGACTCTGTCACTTACTAGTTGTACTAGGTGTTTTACCTCCCTGAGCCCATGTTTTTAAAATGTAGGTAATAAGAGTGTCTACCTCAGATGGTAATTATGAGAATTAAATGAGTTTAAACATGTAAAGAGGTTAACACAGGGCTCGGACCATGAGAAGCTGTTGTTGATAAATGTTATTAGGATGATTACTTGACTAAGTGATTACTAAGATTTTTTCCCCCTCATTTTTAAATTCCATGATTCCTCCTGGCTGATGCTCTCTCCAAGCTCTTCCTAGAGCCGCTGAGAGCACCAGCTTCTCCCCGGCTTCGCAGGTAGGTCCGCCTGCTGATTGTGGCCATGGCAGTGCTGGCTCCAGGAAGCTCCCTGAGAGCCATAGGCCATACGCCTGCCCTGGTCCCTCACCCCATTACCTCTTTTTGAATTTTACTCCTGCCATCTTTCACTTGTTCAACAGGAGTTCCACGTGAGTCCATCAAATCACACTTCACAAATACAGTCCTCTTCAGAGAGGTGATCTAAGATATCATATGGAACGGAAATGCTTTTCTTCACAGGGCTCAAAAGAAATGTGCTCAGATCAACAGAAATAAAGCTTTGTGAAAGAAGGAATGTTAGTAAAGATGGAGATAGGGTAGCATATTCTTCTTCAGGCTAGTTGGGCAGTGGTTTCCTCTTTCCTGAGTCAACCATTTTGTGCTGTGGTTCTCTGACCTTTTCCTATTCTCATATACTCCCAGCCATTCATAGCAGACAGGTGTGGGGAAAAGGAAGCACATGTTTCTTAGGGGCAAGTCCCGGAGCCAGGCAGGGTTAGTTTGAAAATGTCCTTCCCTCCCATTCAGATAGGCTCTAAATGAGTGTGTGACCTCCTCCCTACAAAGTTGGTGGCATAAGACTAATAGAGGAAGTAAGCAAAAAAAAAAAAAAAAAAAAAAAGGGGCTAAGCTAAAGGTCACTTCATTGTTGTTTGGAGGTTGGAGCAACTGAGTAAAAAGAAATGGGACTTAAGACAGCCGAGCCCTCACTGAGGCTGGGATTCCCCAGGTAGAGGGGAGGGGGATTGGGTTTATAGGCATCTGGAAGAAGCAGAAAGTGAAGGGTATATGTGAAGAGAGTAGGAAGAAGTATAAAGGAGCTAGTGAGGCTCTACTGTGGCAGGAGAAAAGTTTAGAAGTGATGTGTTAGCATTAGAGAATCAAAGGAGGCTTTTGAACAAAGGAGTGACAAGACATAGCGCTGAACAAAGAATTGATGTGGCAGCAGCATTCATTTTAAATGGAAGGGGACAGGGCTAGGGGAGTGGAGTGGAAAGAATGCTATTCAGGTCAGGCTTGGGCCTAGATGTCAGGTCGCCCCTGTGGCACTAGCTGAGGGGACTTGTGTTAAGTGACCTGACTTGTCGGAGCTTCTGTTTCCTCATCTGTAAAATGATATGTCAGAGGTTTCTGGGAAGATTACCATTCACCAAATATTTTACTGGGTTGTTAGATACTTTGCTAGGTATCAGAGGTACAAAAATGAACAAGAAAAGACAAAGTCTCTGTCTTCCAGGAAATTACCATCTAGTTTGGAAGACAGACAACAAAAAAAGTCAACAAAGACACTAAAAACTGAAGAGTGTGATAAGTGATACTGTGAAGGAAGGTAGGCAACCTGGGTGCCCAGTTTTAAATTCAAGGGGTCAGGGAACGTCTCTCTGAGGGAGCGGAATTTATTGAGACCAGAGAATGCAGAAGGAGAGCAAAGGGAAGAATGTTCCAGGAAGAGGAATAATATGTGCAGAGGCAGAAAAAGCTTGGTGTGTGCCAGGAAATGCAAAGAACTCGAGAGCACAGGGGGAGGTGGAGGAGGCTGGCCTGCAGTGAGGTGCGGGGGGAGGGCAGTAGCTGGGTCACAGCAGGAGTCTGAATCCTATTCTACAGGAAACTGTAAGTGGGAGGGTCGTGTCCAGATGTCCATTTTAAAACATGTGCTCTGCTGCGTACTAAACAGAATTTGAAGAGGCAAGAGTGGGGATAGGGTATTGTTTAGGAGGCTATTTATTGCAATAGTCTAGGCAACAGATGGTGCTGTCTTAGATTAGGGTCGGGGCAGTGGAGCTTAAGGGAAGTGGATGGGTTCAAGAAATATTTTGAAGAAAGAATTGATCTGGCAGATGTATTAATTTTAAATTGAATTAAAGGTCTTGTATTTGGGTGAGAAAAGGGAGGAAAAAAGTGACATCAGGTATGACTTTTAGGCTTCTGGCTTGAGTGACTGAATAAAAAATATAATTACTGACATGGTTAAGACTGGAGGAGGTACAGTTTTCAGGCCAGGGATGAGATAACATAAAACACCTTTATCAGTGCCTGGCACATAGAAGGCCCAGATAATAATAGGAATTCCCTCTTATTGGGAATTCCTATTATTATCTGGGCCTTCTGAATTCTGTAACAATGGCTTCTAGAAAACAGCTAGAATCAGTAACTTCTCTGCCTTAACTATAGTATAAGGAAGCAGGAAATAGAATAATAGGATTCTGAGATAAGTGGATGGTAGCTGGTCTCTCTGAAATAAATTACAGCAAAAACTTCACTAAGAAATCATGACGCATAGAGGGGAATACAATCAACTGAATATAGCCCAGCCAACTGAACAAACTGGTTTATCAGGCCACCATCTGATAAGATCTTACTGCTTTTCTGAAATCACAGTAATGAAAGCATGTGAACTACTAGAATGCTTCACATTTAAAGCTTTTATTTTGAAAAATAAAATACAAAAGTCATTAAGTTGTAAATGTATATGGTAATTTATCAACTTCTCGGAAACAATAGAATGAATTATTTAAATAATTAAGATATTTAGTATTATCCACATCAATACATTTAAACAGGTACAAGTGTTCTACAAAACATTAGAACATGTACAGATGACCTATTCCAAGATGAAACTGCCCAATTTTGCTTACAGAATCCCACTTTTAAACCCTCCTCTTGAAAACAAAATTTGGAATCTGGTAAGAAAAGATAGGGGCCAGAGCATTTTTAACAGAAAGCACATGTGCCCCCTGGGCTCCTTATCCACTGGGTTGTGCATGCAATTAGAATCGAGAGTGCTGCACACAGGGAACAGATCACTCGGGAGGCCCAACTGTGGCTGACATTCACCCAGTCAGTGAGAGGAGTCTGGCGAATGAACAGGAGCCGCAGTATATACACTCCATGGATCTCAGCAGGTGACAGCCAGTCCTAGAAAGTTCCCTTCCGTTGCATAGGCTTCGGTCTTCCCTAGGGCAAACAAAAGGAACACAGTTACAGCTGTGGAGTCACAGTTCCTTTGTCTCCTGCACCACACAGCCTCCTTCCCAGTCATGGGTCTGACATAAGCCAGGTTGATGGGCAGGGGATTGACAATTACGAGAACAGCTGCCTCAGGACCACAGCAGAGGCGCACTCTCCCTCAGCCTAGGATGCTTGGAGACGCCTGCCAGTAGCTTCGATGTGCAAAACAAGGGCTGCTCCTGCTCACCTCTAACTGACTGCAACTGGCATAGCAACTGAAGCCACCGCGGGGGCACAGGTAGCAACATCAAATGTCCAGGGGTCCCACACGCTGACTCTTCTTTTGAGAAAGTGGATGCTAAGGTTCTCTGAAGGAAGCTTTAGATAACACAGTGACTGTATTCAAATACCAAAGGGATCCAAAAGACAAGAAGACAGGCTGGTATCTATTCTGAGATGCTTTGTTGTCTCTCCCAGGTCACCTGAGTCCTTCTCTCAGTGCATGTGGGACCTACAGGCCTCGATAAGCAAACGAGAATGAAATGCTGCTGTGGAGCAACTTGAAGGCCAGGGTCAACTTAACACTGTATTTTGTCTTGTAAAAAAGCAAAGACTATACTTTCAGGGATCATTTCTATAGTATGTTACTAAAGAAGTTTGCCTGAACGTGTCTTATAAAATAGCTGGTCAATAAATAAAACCCTGTGTGTGTGTGCCTGTGTGTGTCTGTTTGGGGAGGGGATTCATAAATTTTAAAAGTATTTTGGATAACGAAGTTATCCAAGGCCTGATAACTGCTGTCAGATATGCATACCCATAGAGTGTAAGTCTAACGTTTGGCAGTTGCTCGTTGACAATCATAAATCCTGAAACCTATTCATGTTATTGGTTCGCTGCCATCCAGGACTTTGACGTGGCATAGTAGTGTTTGTGTGTTTTTGCCTCTATAATCCATTAACACACACCAAGTCATAAAAATCTCCTAGTCAAATTATTCAATCTCAATTTTCTCACCAGTACAATAGGAATACTACCAACTACTTGCCAGAGTGGCTTGCAACTTGAATGAATTCATTCTAATATGTTTATATTAATTATATATAATTTATGATAGGTGTTGTTCTATATATCATATTATACAGGGTCCAGCAGAAGTAAGGCCTGCTTCAGTGTGGTTAATAGTGTGATAGGGTAATAATATGGGTGTAATAATTTATAGTTTTAATTTGGACATTTCACCTAAAATGTCCCATGGTGGGCTTGAGAGTGATATTGTTATGTTACAGAATTACATGCTTATGATTTTGTAATAAAAAGGGGCATTATTTGTGCTGGATTCCATATATTGCATACAATATAACATATATCATGTAGTATATATAAAATGTTTGGTATTTTATGCTTGGTGTGGAGTATCCACTCGATAGATGGTTACTATATAAAATAAAAATAAAACAGCAAGCAAAAGTCAAATTTATAAAAGCTTTTCAAGTTCCAAATGATCTAAGGCATCACCACATCATTCAGAGCAAAAACAGAGTCTTCAGAAAGTGTGGGAGACGGCTGTGAGCTCTGAGCAGCTACATCAGGAGGTCTGAGAAACCAGCTTTGCCACTAAGGGGCTGTACCTGATGATTACTCAGATGTAAACAGGGCTTAAAAGGCATGGTCTAGCCCACACTGTAGCCCTTAGCTACAATGAGACAATGTAGGTTGCAAACATGAGATCTTCATACATTAAAATCAGCAATGGAAGGCTTCAAAAACAAACCAACTCACCCCCCAAAAATATTAATACAAAATTATTTGCATGTCCAAGACACAGAGAAAGTAGCACAAGTGGTGGAAGAAGCTCTGGTTGTTCTGCAGCCCTGGGTTCTCCTCCCAGTGATATGGCCTTGACAAATAGCCTACTCTATCTAGGATCAGTTGCCTTATCAGCAAAGAGATGGTTGAGGCTGATGTTCTACAAGTTTCTTTCAGCTAAAATATTTTATCATTTACCATATTGAAAATAACAACTAACACTGTTAGAGTGCTTACTATGTGCTCCGCTTTTTGCAGACATTATTATGGTTAATTCTTACTGCCACTCTCTTGTTAATATTGTCCTCATTTTACAGATGAGGAACTAAAAAATGGGGAAGTTCAGCAATTTGCTCAGTGCCACACCGAGCCAAGAGTCCAGCCCAGAAAGACTGATACAGAGCTGCGCTCTCTACCCCAGCCATGCCACCCTCCTACAAGCCGAAGAGGGGAAACCCAGAGTCTCAGCAGTGTCCCCCAACCCTCACCTCATGTGTGTAGGAGGTTCCTGGCTCTGCTACTCCACTTGCTCAGTCTGTCAAAGAAAACAAAAGATGTTTTAAAGTCTTCAAAGTTGGTCAGCATAAGTGACTGCTTCAGTCAAAATATCAGGTGTAGCTTGAAGGAGTTGATTAGAATTTCTAAGGAATTCAATCTACTACTGTTGTGTAATAATTTGGCCTTTGTCCCTGGTTTGCGGTAAGGAGACTAACTCCTTGGATAATTTTCCTCAAAACAGGAGTGTCTTTGTTATTCATGAGTCCCTTGGATCACACCTGAGTTTACTAAAGGGCTGAGATGCCTCTCAGAATGGGCGCTGCTCACCAGAAAGACCAAGCCTAATTAGAGGGCTGGGGCTTTCAGCCAGCCTAATTGACAGCTAGGGGAAGTTGACGGTGACTAGGTTCAATCACACGGCCAATGATTCAGTCAATGCTGCCTATGTAATTAGAACCCAAGAAAAACTATGGATGCCAAAGCTCAGTGGCGCTTCCTGGTTGGTGAACACATGGATGTCTAGGAGGGAGAAGCACCCTGCTTCTGTGGAGAATGGGCACAGAAACTATGTTTGAGACCCTAACAGACCTTGTCCTATTTGTCTCTTCATTTGGCTGGTCTTGACTTGTACCCTTTGCAAATATAAAACTGTAACCTCAAGTATAGCGCTTCCAGAGCTCTGTGAGCCATTCTAGTTAAATATAAAACCTGACGATTCTGTGGGCTTCAATTTTCTCATCTATTAGAAGTTAAGCCCTGATTTGTGCGGCTTGGTGTGTTGGGCATTGTCCCACAAAGTGAAAGGTCGCTGGTTTAATTCCCAGTCAGGGCACATGCTTAGATCGCTGGTCTGGCCCTGGGTCAAGGGAGTGCAAGAGGCAATTGATTCATGTTTCTCTCTCACATGGATATTTCTCTCCCTGTCTTTTTCCTTCCTTTCCTGTCTTAAAAAATAAAAATAAAATAAAAAAATAAAAAAGAAACAAAGAAAAAAGTGAAATCAAAATCTTTTTTCCTCTCCCTCTTTTTCCTTCCTTTCCTGTCTTAAAAAAAAATAAAATAAAAAAATAAAAAAGAAACAAGGAAAAAAGTGAAATCAAAATCTTTTAAAGGCCTTTTTCTAAATGTTTGTGATGCATTAAATGAAACTACCAGAATAAGGGCCTTAGAAGGCCTGGTACACATTTTGCGCAATTTTAAAAATCTTCTTATTAATTTGTAGAAATTACCTACATTCCACAGATGAGTCATTTGTTTAAATATTTTCTCCCATTTAAAGCATATGTTTTTTACTCTCTTTATGATGCTTTCTATTAAGTAAACATTCTCAGTTTTAATGTAGTCCAACTTAATCATTTTTAAATTAATGATTAGTATTCTTAATGACTTGTTTAAGAAATCCTTTCCTTTTGCCCTGACTGGTGTGGCTCAGTTGGTTGAGCATTGTCCCACAAATTGAAATGGCACAGATTTGATTCCTGGTCAGGGTACATGCCTGGGTTGCTAGGCCAGTCCTTGGTTGGGGGTGGGCGAGAGGCAACCCATTGATATTTATAAATAAAAAAATCTTCAAAAAAAAAAAATCCTTCCCTCTTTAAGGTCATAAAGATATTCTCCTCTATTGTCTCCTAAAAAATTTATTATTTTGCGTTTCACTTTTAGGTCTATAATCTACCTGGAAATGATTTTTGTGTACATTGTGAAGCAGGGTGGTCCCTTTAGTTTTAGTCTTAAATACCCTTTCTTGACTCTTTCAGATTTATTATGTGAAACAGCCTTAGGATTTAACATTCCTGCAAGACTCTGCATCTTGGATTATTCTCTGGCTCCAAGTGCCGTAGCCTGTAAAGGAGTGAGCCTGGTCATGAATTCATTCAGGTTTCTGAGAATTTATGCCCAGCCAGGCTCAGGGCCCTGTACTCCCTTCTCTGCAAAAGTAAATAAGAGTATTTTGGATAGATCAGGAGTTTCTTGAGAAGATTCAGGAATTAAAAGAAATTTAATTACATTTGATACACCATATTATATTTCAGGTGTATAATATACTGGTTAGACATTGATAGAACTTACATAACTTAAGGGAGAGAAACATCGATGTACTAGAGAAACATCAATCAGTTGCCTTTCCCATGCCCCCAAATGGGGACCTGGCCTGCAACCCAGGCATGTGCCCTGACAGAGAATCAAACCAGCGACCTTTCAGTTCCCAGTCTGGCACTCAATCCAATAAGCCACACCCGCCAGCGCCCATTATTTTTTAAATCAAATTGTTTGTTTTTTGTGGTGTTAAGTTGTATGATTTTCTTATATATTTTGGACATTAACTCCTTATTGGATGTATCATTGGCAAATATCTTCCTTGAGAAGATCTTTTTTAGCCTTGTGACTCTTGTGGACTTATTCCAGTTTTTCACCCATAATAGAAGTTCAGTAAGCATCTGTTGAAAAATTTAAATAAATGGATGGATGGATTAAAGTTAAATAGATGTTAATAAGAATATGCCTTGAAAGTAGTTTGAAATTCTTAAGTAATATGTATTGATGGCTAACTGTTGTCAGACAAGGATCTGAGAAGATAGAGCCTTCAACTCTGATATGAGACAGCTTCTCTTAGAGAGCCCGGCCCATTTACTGCAGGCTTGCCTCAGATAACACGACTTCACAGCGTCTGTGAGGTGGGGTGTTTGCCTCACCAACTCATATCTGAATATTTTGGAAATGGAGTTCAGTGCTGAGTCTTCATTTCTTATAACAAGCTAATCACTGATGGCAGCAGCCTGGAGGCAACATGTACTATCACTATGCTGGAAGGGGAAGTGTTCTCCTGGGCTCAAGAAAGAGTCATCATTTCCCCCCACCACTACAGAAGAAGGGCAGATGAGGCTCAGGTGCGGGACACTCTGGGCTAGTCTAGGCACATCAGCCGTAACACTATCTGTTTCTCTCCAACTCAATAAACCATACTGGAATCTGAGTAAGTGAGAGTGTGACATTACAAGGATAACTCTGGATTTGTTTTAATTAATTTTTTAAAAAGTAAAAGTTATGAGCTTCAAACTCTCACCATCCTTTCCCAACTTGGGGGACTTTGCAGTTGAGGGCCTACCGTTGTGTATATAATGTATTCACAAGTATTCTAGGCTCTAAATGAGAACAGTTAAAAGGCCATGAATACGTATGCAATAAAAACAAAGGGAAGATGTACATTTTTTTTCAAGGTAGATATCAGAAGCCTGGAGCAGATACACAGGCAGATTCCTTATCTGTGGAATACTGTGTGGTTTGGAAGACCTCAAGCAATAGGATTTTAGTTACTAATAAAGTATTTCCCCAGTTTTGAAAGACTGTGTTAAGACTTTATTAAATTATAGTTGTTCTTTAAAATTTCTATTGTATTATCTATTTATTTATTTATTTATAAATTTATTGGGAGTGATATTGTTTAATAAAATATATAGGTTTCATGCATACAATTCTATGAATACATATCTGCATATTGTATTGTGTGTTTACCACTCCAAGTCAGGTCTCCTTCCATCATTATCTCCCCTTTACCCCCTTCTTCCTCCCCTTAACCACCTTTTAAATTACCATTAAAACCAACAATTGCCAGAGGCCAATCTTTCTACTACTACCACATATCGTTATCTCTAAAAAGATCATTTCAATGCAACAGTCCATCTATTATTACACATCAAAAGGAGAAAACAGATACAGTACCTGAGGTTTTTCTTTAAGAAATTCAGGTAGCTGAAATTCTCCTTTATAGACCTGGAAAAACAAAGCCAAGTATGAGTTTCAGCAAACAGTTACTGTCATCATCAGTTCGGAATGCCTGCAATACCTGATAGTGGCGAGAAAGCGGTGAAGAATACCTGCTTCATTCCTGAAGGGAGTTTTAGAATGGCAGGGAAGCCTGTCAGTTCAAGAGCAGCCAGAGGCGAAGGACTGAGTGAAATCCCCATTTATGAAGAAGAAAAACCAACATCCCAGCATTCCAAGCTCAATCATTTTAGCTGAGAGAGAAAGCAAGCCTGAGGCCACCTCTCTCAAGCAACCAACACAGAATTCCCACAATTTAGGAATGGGTTCCTCTTGATTTCCCTTTGAAATCTCCAACCTTAAAACCCTGATTTTAACCCAACTTTTCCTTTTTTAAAAATTTTTTAAAAAGATTTCCTTTCTTTATTTTTAGAGAGAGAGAAAGGAGGGAGAAGGAGAGGAAGAGAAACATTAATGTGTGGTTGCCTCTCACATGCGCCCCACTGGGCAGATGAGGCTCAGATGCAGGACACTCTGGGCTAGTCTAGGCACATCAGCCATAACACTGGGGACCTGGCCCGCAACCCAGGCTGTACCCTGACTGGGAATTGGATTGCTGATCCTTTGGTTTGCAGGCTAGCACTCAATCCACTGAGCCACGACAGCCAGGGCCCAACTTTTCCTACTGTACCTAAGATTTCCAAATAATTTGAATATTAGATGATTTGTTAAAAGATTTTATTTATTGCCCTGGCTGGTGTGGCTCAGATTTTATTTCATATATTTTTAGAGAGAGAGGAAGAGAGGGAGAAACAGAGGGAGAGAAACATCGATGTGCAAGGGAGATATTGATCGGTTGCCTCTTGCATGCACCCCCAACCGGGGATCTGGCCTGCAACCCAAGCATGTGCCCTGACCAGGGACTGAACTGGTGGCCTTTCAGTCTGTGGGATGATTCCCAACCCACTGAGCCACACCAGTCAGGGTGAATATTAGATGGTTCTTAAAATGATACCTTTAACCTCATAAAATCTTATTAAGAATTTATTATTTTCTATATGTAAAATTATGTTTCTAATGCTAGCAATTAGAAAATGATTTAAAAAATACCATTTATAATAACATCAATGCCCCCCACAACAAAATACCTGAGAATAAATCTAATAAAAGATGTGTAAGACAAAAAGTTAGAAAACATTATTGAGAAAAATTAAAGACCAAATAAACAGAGAGACAAACTACGTTCAGGGATTGGAAGATTCAATATAGTAAAGATGTCTATTCTCCTCAAAAGATTTCCAATAAAAATTCTAGCATTTTTTTGGGGGGGGGAAGGAAGAGGTAATTTGAAGTTAATTGTAAAAGTTATATGGAAATTCATAGGACCAAAAATAATTAAGGTAATCTTAAAAAGAAGGACAAAGAGGGAGGGGGCTTATTTTATCAGATATTAAGAAATTATTATACAGCTATAATTAAACTATAGTATACAGATATATACATATATATTTAAGACAGTAAAGTTTTGGCACAAGGATATACATATATGTTAATGAAACAGACCTCCATATACAGACGCTTAGCTGAAGACAACAGCGGTACTGTAGAGCAGTGCAATTAGAATGAATAAATAAATATCAATAAATGTGATTTATGCGTGTATGATATACAATACAGCAATAAAAAATGAACTACTGATCTACCGATAACATATATGAATTCCAGTACCTAGTGATGAGGGGAAAAATACCAGACCTCCCCCCAAAATAATACACTAACACATCCATTTAAAACTTTTAAAGATCATAAATAGGCAAAAACAGTTCTGTTAGAAACTGAAATACTGTTTACTCTGGGGCGGAGGGAAGTGGTGGTGATGTGGAGGGGGCATGAGGGACGTTTCAAGGGTGCTGGCAATTTTGTTGTGTTATAGGTAGAGATTATGACGATGTGTTCATTTTGTGATCATTTATTGAGATATGGTTTGTGTACTTTGCTATATGTGTGTTATATACTTTAATAACAAAACTGAATAAACAAATTAACCCCGTAGTTTAATGCTAGAAATTTACCGCACACACACTTTGTTAAGTACAAAGATGTTTGTTTCAACACTGCAGTAGCTTGGAACCTGCTCATGGCAATCAAAAGTGAAGAAATTACAGTTAAGAAACTATGGATTGTTATTGGCAAGAGAGTCACTGGATAGTCAGTCCCTCAGAGGACAAAGAAATCTTCTGGCAAACCCTAAAGCTTACCAACCTAAAGGGTTTTTACTTGGTTGTAAGATAACTGATCCACTTCTAAAAGTAGTAGCATTCCTTCTGAGATTCAGAGCATGAATGTATTTTTTTTCCTATCTCTTTCTCTGCAATTTCTAAAACCTGGTCTCTTCTTTGGGGTCTCTGCTACAGTCTTGGGAAGCTTAAATTACAAGAGAGATATTAAACTATGAGTAAGACATTTCTTCTTTAGGCTGAGGGGCATGCAAGATAACAACAATGTAGCTGCTAGAAGTGTTTCAAAAGCTACCACCATCTGTTTCATACCCTCAAACTGTCCCAGGTCACTGGGAGCTGGCTTAGCTGTCCCTTAAAGAATCTGCATGTAAGAATATTGTTTGCTGTACCTTAACGCCACAGTCCAGAGGTTGTGCCAGCTTCCTGGCGTAGGGAAGTGTCTAAACCCCTGGTTTAGACCTGGAGCTGTGTATCATGTTATCTCTGACTCCCTTTGCCCCGATCACTACTATCTGCGGGGCAAGTAGATCCTATATCCAATACAGGGATTCAAGCCACTAAGAAGGCTTTTTGTTTTTGGTTTTTTAACCAGATTCTCAAGTGTCCTTCCTTTGCCCTTTAGTCCCAAACCCCATCCTCCAAGCCTCTGGGGCATAAGCTGCCCAGGTCCAGGGCTTATGCCCTGGTTGCCTTACTGAACCAGAACAAGCACAGTTTGCCCCAGTCACTGTTCCCCTGTTTGTGGGTTAGGTACCCAGACACTTTTCTTATATTCCAAACATTCTCTCAGAAACTGAATTTCCTGTCTCACAGCTAGCTTCTTCTGCACTCTCCCATTATATACCACACTGTCTACATTTTATTACCATTAGCAAATCTTACGATTAAATCTTACCTTCTCTTTTTGGTTTACTGTAAAAACCAGGAAGGCATGACAGTAAATATGAGTAGGAACATTAAATATAAGTGTCTTCCAGGTACCAACAGTTCCAGAGAGGTGAGGCTTATATGAAGGAGGAAAAAACCCTAAATATGCACTGTCACAAATGTAATAAATAATTAAAAAGGGGTCAGGATAAAACCACAGATAAAACTCAATAAAAAAATAGTGGAAAGCTGTCTCTTTCATTATCCTTCAGGGAACATATGCTTCAAAAATTAGGAACTATGGTACTGACAAAGAGAACACTTTCTACTGAAAAGCAACTCCTATTTAGTGCAGGACACTAAGTTTCGCATTGCTTATAAAAACAGCCAAGTTAGGAACAGAATTTCCGTTGGTGAAATGAACAGTGTTTCTGGACATACTATTCTCTGGCACTAATGGGTTGAGGATTTTACCTGACAGTGATGAGCTAGGTACCCAGACTCCATCTCAAGCACTGAAGAAATGACAAGGAGACAAAAGTAGGTTTTTTATTTGGAGGGTACATTGGAAATAAAAATAAAAAGAACAGCAGCTAAACTTTATTATCTTCTCTGCACCAGGTTAGTGTTAAGTAAGGGCTTCATATGTATTAATTATCTCATTGAATCCCACAGTCTCTTGAGGGAGGTATTATCTTTTTAGAGGGAAAGCAACTGAGGCACAGAGAAATTAAGTAAATTGTTCAATGTAGCAAAATGGGAAGCTACTAAGTACCATCATCAGAATTCATTTTAAGATCATCCTGATTGTTGTTTAGACTGAAGCATAGGTGTTACAGCAGTAATCCAGAGAAGAAAGGATGACAAGAAAGCAGCAGTGGAGGTAGTGAGAAATGGGAGGTTTGTGAATTCTTTTTTCTAATTACATGTAGATTTCCTAACAGACTGGAAATGGGATGGAACAGACCAGGGGCGAGTCAAGGAAGACTCCAAGGTTTCCGGCCTAGGCAACTCTCCGCTGGAAACATGAAGCTGCCATCAACTCAGTTGGGAAAGGTTCTGAGTAGAGCAGATTTTCAGAAGATTAGTAGTTCCGTTTTGGACATGCCAGGCTTTACATGCCTATTAGACAATCGATGAAATGACAAGGAGACAAAATAGGCTTTTGATGTGGAAGGTGCATTGGAATAAAAATAAAAAGAACAGCAGCTAAACTTCAAATAAATGAAAATGTTAAGTAGCCTGTTGGACATATAATTCTGGAGTTTATGGAAGAGGTCTGGGCTGGTATATATAAATTTGAGAATCATCAACTTATAGATGACATGTAAAGCCTTGATTCCTGAAGAGATAACCCAGGGATTCAGGGCACATAGAGTAGAGCAGAGGACTTAAGATGGAGATATGAGGACTTTCCAACATTAAGAAATCAGGGACAAGAAGAAACAGCAAACATGCCTAAGAAACTACCAATGACAAGAAAAAAGTTTTTAAAAAGTGGTGTCCTAGAAGCCAAGTGAGAGAAACGTATCAAGGGAGTAATCAATCTTATCAAGAGACTGAGAGATAAAATAATAATTGACCATTGGATTTAGTAACATGAAGGTCGCTGTAACCTTGACAAAAGTAAATTAAGTAGAAGAGTAGTTGTGAAATTCTGAATGTAGTGGATGTAAAACAGAATAGAGAGGAAGGAACTGGAGACAGGGAATATAGAAAACTTGTTTTGATGTAAAAGGCAGCAAAGAAATGGAATGGCAGTGGCAGGGCAATTGGGATCAGGAAGAGGTGGGGGGGGAGTGTGTGTGTGTGTGTGTGTGTGTGTGTGTGTGTGTGTGTTAAGCTAAAAAAGAAAAAACAACTAAGGGTATTTTTGTTTATTGATGGAAAAGATCCTGCTGG